GTTTCACCTTTTGAGTTGCCTTACTGACATAAATGAACATTTGCACGATATTCTAATTTTTCAAATTTCACCTGTATTTGCTTCTGGGTTTTGCACCATCCCCCTTTTGTTCTAGCTTAACACTCTCGTCCTGTGATTGACCTGCAGTTTTCAATTAACACCTGGAAGAGAGGCTGCTTAGACAAGCTAGTTCTTCCTATTTACTCTTGCCAGCTGCAAGATAACAAACTTCTAGCTCTAATTAAGTAAAAAATCTGAGACTTTCTAGCTATAGATAGAAATTGGGATGTAACTTAGGAATTTCAAAATTGCCAGTTATTTTGATGAACTGATCTTTAGTATGCCTTTACTTCTGGAAAACAGTACTTCCAATCATCACAGCACACACAATGGTTCTCCAAAAGTAATTAAGACAATTGTGGTTACAGAATGCATTCTGCACAATTGATTTCATTCTTTTCTATTAGGGCATCTTGGAGAATAAGAACTTGAGGTATATTTGTTTTTTTTTCTTGCAGTAAGATCTGAAACATCTGGTGGGGGAACCATATTGGGAGTAGATCCTTTACACTATGGCATTTGCTTAGACTGTTGTTGTCTGGATAGCGCTATCGTTGCTTTCATCAAAGCATCTGAAAACAGAATTCAAACAGAAATTCCATATCACACTATAGTATAGTGTTATATGATTTCCCAAAGTTAGCTCCCCATAGTTAAGGACTTCCTATAATATTTACTTGACTCACTGTTTATTCACAATTAAAAATTTATTGTTTGCAGCTTTTAACTGCTTTATTACAACTTTTTAATTCCAGGCTAGGCAATTAGCAATAGGGAGAATTGTAATTCTTCTTGAATAGTTCTTTAAATTGTTTTAATGCAGTTGTCATCTACTGGAGAGTTATTTTATTGATTTCTCTCTCTCTCTCTCTCTCTCTCTCTCTCTTTCTCTCTTTTTTAAACAGAAGAAATCTGTTCAGGAGAATGGATTCTGATGAACTCTGAGGAAATCAGTATTTAAACCTTCCTCTCCTCATGTGAAAACAGAAAATGATGACGCAGCAAATCAGAAATGCCAGTTCACATGCTATGCTTGACTACTTTTTCAGATCAACAGGAAACAATAAATTAATAACATCAAAATATCTTAATTAAAAGGCATTAAGAGCCTTGAAAATGTTTAATAGCACATTGCTGCAATTGGGTTTTAAAATAAAATAAAATATGAAAACAAAACAAAGTAAGAAAACATTGCAAACCCTAGATTATAATTTCACCCTCCATAAAGGGGTTGTTGTAGTGGAGTGTACTTTGTTTCTCAGTGGAGATTGGGAGAAAGCACATGGCAAACCACTTTTTTTTTTTTTTTTTTTAAATAACCACTATTCTTAAAGTATTTTGGGTTGGGTTTTATTTAGTAATCCAATATTTATCCTGTTCTATGCCATTCCACATAATGGATGGGTATAGACTTGCTGGAAGCAAATATACTTTTGTGTGGATGGGGCTGGGAGGGAACGTTTCTTAATCCTGTTTATTACTTAAAATAAAGAGGGGAGGCATGTATGGTCCACCCTGAAGAAAACAACTTTAAGAGAGGGAAAACATTAAATAATAGGATTAAACTAATACATGAGTGCTGTACTACTGCATTTGTTAAGTGCAACCTTGAGGGAAAAAAAATTGAATATAGAAACAAATCAAAGCACCAGATAGTACTGCATACATGTGTATCTCAGAGTATGGGGATTACCAATAACAAATATATTTATTTATATTTATACCATGCCATAATCCTGCAGGACCCTCAGCAATTTACAGGAATACAACAACAAAAACATTTTTACTTTCAGCTGCTTCCAGAAGGCAGTTAAAGTGGGAGATAACCTTATCTCTAACGGGAGGCCATTCCAGAGGGGCTGGCGCTGCTACTGAGACACAGCGTCTCTGAGCCTTGTCCCATCTCCCCCCTCCATGGGAAACTAGGAGCTGCTTTACTCCAGCAAGACTGAATTGGTTGGGCCAACCAATTCTAGTGGACAAATGTGGTCCTGAAAGTAAGTTGTTGCCAAGCCAACTATAGTTGAAGACTAGCTTTTTACATTGCACCCAGAAGCCAGCATAGGGCCCGCCATGCTGGTGTAATGCGCTCCTGCTGGCAAGTGTTGGATAGCAACATGGGCCACCACACTTTGGCCCACCTGAAGTTTCCAATCTTTAAGGACAGTCCCATGTAGAGCAAGTTGCAGTAGTCCAGGTAGATGGCAGTGAGGGCATGTGTCATTGTAGTAATAAGTTTTTGTGAGACACAGTCTGGTTCATCACTCATGGTATGTATGGAGAAGTATTCTATGCACACGCACAAATTTTTATCTGTTTGGAGGAGGGAGGAATGGAAAGCTGAAAATTGACAGGAACCATAAAAGTATCACCTATATTGCTCATTAACGTACTTGCTGGTATGGTTATAAGTCCGTACTTTAAGAAAAATAAATTCCTGAGAGATTGTATTAAACGGAAGGAATTTAGCTCAGCTGTTTTACAGTTTAAACGGTCTAAATTCCTTTTCTCAGTAATTGCGACCCTGAGATACAGTGTCCTGGGAAGGTTGAAATGCCCCATCTTGGATTTTGGACATTGCCACTTCAGACTCTAGATTTACACCCTCCTCCCCTTTTTTCTTTTTTTGCATAGGCCAGTTGTCAAACTGCGTGTCCTGATAAGAGGAAGGGACACACCAAGCCTTGCCAATGGTACTGCCAGAGTTCCAGGGTGTGGGGGGCGGTTGAGTTGGCATCCGGGTCTCACGCAAGGCTTGGTTCCTTCGTCTGCTATCAGCACACTGTGGCTTGTAATGTTCGAGGAAACTAGCCTCCGTACTTTACACCCAGTAGCAACACCGCTTCTTCGGATTTGATGAGAAATACCCCTGTCCGCTCCGCCCCCCTGGTGCAGAACGCGGAAGGCGGCGACACAACGTAGCTCCGCAGATGGAAAATGCTACCAGCTGCTGCCGCCTGGAGATTGCCTTAGCAACTGGGGAGTTTGGCGGGTCGCATATTCTTCGAGCCGAGTGGATTCCCGCCCGCGCTTCCCTGGGAGCTGTTGCCAATGGCTGAGGGAGGAGGAGAAGACTTACTCTGTTTGGAGACTGCGGGGCTTCCCTCACGGATCTTATCCTTCTGTTGTTTTGAGCAGCCCCTCCCTCCTTCCCCTAGAGCCTGGGACCAGCTGGCTGGCGGGCTGCCTCTAGGCAGTCCAAGCTCAGCCCCTTCCCCCCCCGCCCCGTGCTGCTGCTGCGCTTCTCCTTCGCTGGTCTGGACTTCTAAGTCTTTAATTGGCGTTGCACGCGCTTCGTTGCAAGCACCTTCAGTTCCTCGAGGCGGCAGATTGGGTTCACGATCACCCCGGCACGGAGCTGCTTTGTTCTCCTCAGTCCCCGTGCTACTATGATCTTGCGGTGCCTTCTCACCGTGCAAGGTAAGGCGTGGTGGGAAAAGATGAGGAGGCAACTCAGTTCTTGCACCTCGTGCAGATGGAACAGCTTCCGGTGGAGTATTGTTTTTGCAGCGAAAACGATAAAGAGCCCTGGGGGCAAATGTAGTAAAGCATAAGCTTTATGAACTGCAGTCCGAGAGATGCACAGAAAATTATTCTGAGGGAATAGTATGAACGCATTCATTGTTTGGGAGGGGATTACTAGAAGGAAAGGTCTAGAGAGATATGTGCGGTGGAGAAAGTGATAATTATATATAGATAGGGACCATTCTCAAAAAGTTGGGTGTGTCATAGAAATACAGTGTCCGCATACGTCTCAAGTGTCTGATAACCTGGTCTCTGTTGAATCCATGAGAAATAGTGTTACGTTTCCTAATTAATTCTGTAATGAAGTCTCTATTCGTGATTTCTTTGTTCAAGGATAAGCATCTTGAGAGGTCTCTGAGCGATGCACTAGGAAGTTGAACTTATTTTTGGATATTGCATTTCTGAGATAAAATTTGTGTTCATCTTCTGTTTTCTTTGGGATGGGATAGTTTTTCCAATAGAACATGCAGTGGGGCATGGCTGATAAAGGCATATAAGACATTGGCAGAAGAGCAGGTGTATAAACCATGCTGTTACTAAGTCATGTAATAGACTTTTAGAGTGAAAAATTGGATAGAATTAGTATTGGAGTCTGCTGTAGGGATGGGTTACATATTGAATCTGTATCAGCAGGAGGCAGTCTTTTGGTAATTGTTAGACTGCTACTGCAGTGCTTTTATTGCTTCTGCTGCAGAAGTGCACAGTTGATTTCCATTCAGTTAAGCCAAAGGCTGCCCTGTACTTGCTTTCCTGAAAAGCGTATTTCTCACAGACTCTCTTTCATAGCTGGTCCACTCTCTGTATGTTGCAAACTAAGCCAGCTTTGTCCTCTTTAGTTTTGCAGTTAGCCAGAACGCTAGACCCACTCTCTGCTGGCTCTTGTGCCTTTGAAGGCAGCACTTGCGGCTATGAAACAGACAGCTCAGCCCTGCCATGGATTTTGAACGAGGAAGGTAAGAAAGCTCTTCAGTTGAGGTTCAGAGTTTTTTCTAAGGTCACTCTAAGCTTGTTTTCTTAAAACCACATGTTTTCATAGTAGTAGCATATTAACACTGTTATCTTTTGCTCAGTTTTTAGATGTTTAAAAGGCTGAATTTCCATCTACAAAGTTAGTTGCAAGCCAAATTAAAAAAATGTCTCAGTAGCATTTTGCCACACACAAACATGCGTATACTTACTTATTGACTTGCTTGGATTTAAAATATTCCAGAAATTCTGTGGGGTCTGTCCATAAGTACATAAGTATTTTACCAGTGTCTCAAGCAGAGAAGCTGATGTGTATTTAATAGAGAGGATGTTTTATAGCTCTCTGATAAAGAATATCTGTGAATGTAGAATGTTCCCTACCGGTCCTAGAAACACTACTTGGAGGTGCTCCTTGACTCACTGCTCCTGCTTGAAAAGACCAGCCTTTGCATGACTTTATCTCATGTG